GGTACTTACATGTGAAAAAGTTTTTCAGATCCAATAGCAATTGCTCGTTTTTTTTTTCAGATTCCGCTGTTAGTGGGCAACTAACATTTATAATACAAGCTAGCGGAACAGTAAAGTACCAAGACAAAACTCCCAAGACTTTTCAGCAAAACTTTGTTGTAACAGCGCAGGGAGACAAATGGAAAATTGTTAGCGATTGTTTAAGGATACAAGAACCATTCAGTAAATAAAAATGTTAATGATATCACAATATTTTTAGTAAGGGGGTTTGTAAGTAAAGAAACTTTTTATTAAACACAGATTTATTTATTTTTAGGATAAAAGATACATAGAAAAATCTTACACCTAGATTCTTATGACTTGATATTGCGATACACAAGATAAGATGTAAACATGTTTCTTTTCTAACAACAAATAACAAATAATATGAGCAAGAGACAAATCGACGGTTCAATACGAATAAGGAATGTATTAAAACAAAAATCAAACACTTTTCTGAGCATTTCAAACACAGCCATAATAAAAGCTAAACTACGCAGAGTTACAATATCTGCAATATACATTGAATTTTACCCTTGGGAAAACTGTTACTCCCCTCACGTGCAAAGAAGAAAGTTTTTATTGATTATATTCGTGTTTCCTCCAAAGAATACATGGTTTTTGCTTATGAGAAAAATATTTAAGTAAATTTAACATTTGAAAAAAGACAATAAAACAAGCGGCACAAGAAGCCTAATTTATGTTATTTGACACCCACCGAAATTATCATATATCGGTTTAACCAATCTATGATTATCTCGACATATGGAAACACTATTGAATGCTCATATAATTGTCTTTTCAAAGCACATATTTATTTTACATTAGTATAAAGTTACAAAAGTCTCAGTCCATAACCATAACGTACATGTATAAGTACCTGAAATAACACATACTTACATGAAACTTAGTTCAGAATTTACTGGCTAATATGTGTTATTTATTCGGAACCAATTTTCAAGACTTAAAAGTTACCACAGATATCAAAAGATTTCGCCCAACATGTCTCAAATAATCAGTTCGCTTCTAATCCAATTGCTCTTGTGATGTTGATAGTAATAAAATTTAACAGATATTATGGGCAAAAACGTTTTATATGCTGTGGTAAAATGACGAAGGTAAACTTTACATGTTGGGGTCATCAGGAGGCAAACTGTTGGCAGGGAATAACTCTGGAATACCACCTACTGCCCCTTCTTCATTATCCAAATTGGGCATATCAGCAGGCACCCGGTCTCCAATAATGGCAGTATGAATAGGGTTACCTAAAGCACATTCTTTCAATCATCAATATACTGCTGAAGAAAGAAATGTACGTAGAAGACAAGAAAACAAATGTAGCGAATTGCAATAATTCTACGTACCTCTGGCGTCAAGTTCTAATGCCGGATCTGCAGTTGCTTCGGCCAAATTCGTCACACTTTTGGATTTAACACATTGAAAATCGACGTGTCTACTTTTGGCCTCTTCTTTCTCCCAGGACATGTGAATGAAGGGTCTTTGCACGTAATTGTAAATCACCTCTGATCTACCACCAGGTCGTTTTTTTACTTTTTCCTTGTAAGTTGGATAACCTAATAGGTTTTCATTTTCATTATGGAAATCATAATCAATCAGATGTGATTTAAAAGTGTTCAGTTGCAAATAATAACATAGTAAATCTATACAAAACCAGAATTAAGCATTCGCAAAGTTTTGCACATATGATGATGATAATATGAACAGACTTGTAAACATTTGGAAAAAATCATTTAAAAATTAGTTAATAAGGTTGTACTCGATATTTTTTATTATGACTCTGATCTTACAATACTATTTGCATATATTATCTGGTTATCAAAAATGAAATCCCGATTGACCGAATAAAATATGTAAGAACTGATGAGCTGTATTAAAGATAAATACTATTGTGTGTCGACTTTTACATTGATCTTACCGAATTGCAATAACAACAGCGACTGTTTTTCTAGAAACTACGCACTGTTCGTAAACTGTAAATTAGACTTACCCTCAATTCCTAATCTGATCTTCTTCAATCCTCTGTCCTTCAATACTTGCTTGGCAACATCTCTATTTTCTATATATTTGAAAAATCTATACATCGCCGTACTATTAACAGTCTGACTGTATTCCTCTCCCATTTGCGGAGGATATTCTTCATCCCAATCTACTGTATCATCATCTAGCAAGACTACAATATGGCATTCCCTATCACCTCTTTGTGCTGAGTTAACCATTAGGGGCAAAATTAATTCTTCTAGGAACACTTCAAATTGGCACCTAGCCCCTTCATTGGATAATTCATGCAATAAACCTCCTAAAAAACCGTGTTTTGTATAATAAAAATAGTATTTAGTAGCTATTGGAAAGCTCACGTAAGTTTTGGCATCGTACAGTAGAAGCGTCAAATGGTACTAAAAGGTAATCACAGGCTTCTCGGAGTTCTTGAACAGATATGGAAGGAGGACATTTGATTACGCCACCTTTATAAAACTCGAGAATGGCACGGAACACAGATGCTGGAATACCATCAGCTACTTCATATTCACCCCGCTCATTCGAATGGGTGTCCAATGCAGAACTAAATAAAAAATTTAATTAGCTTTAAAGTACTTGTCTTTGGGAAAAATTATTATCCGTTTCTGACAAGATTGAGTCTGGTTTTCTTCTTAGAATTATTTATACAGATAATTTTAATTAAGACATTTTTAAAACCCACCAAGAATGCTGTGGTTACTTGCAACAATACTGCACAAGTGCACATCTGGCATTAGATCTGCACGAGATTCAATCACATTTCAACGACAATATAGTGGTTAAATGTTCAAGTTCGCCGCATTTAACGAGATTTTCAGGATTTTTAATTAATATTTACGCATATACTGGTTTGAATCGTTACGCTTAGTTATCCGGCTTAAACAATAAGTTTTGGGTTGAATTAAAATCTTTTTTAGATGAAGATGAAGATGGTTTTTTTCATACCTATTTGCATGTCGATCAGTTGAGAGCGGAAATTATAAGAGTTTTTGTGACGAAACATTAGAAAATAAGGAGTTGAGTGCAATTGAAGAAGGATTCAGAGAAGAGTTGAGGATTTTGTATTGGTTGAATTAGTTCCTCGAACAAAGACAAGGGAGGTATGTTGATAAAAATCAAGAAACTATACAAGGAAACTGCAATTGTACTTGAGAATAACTCGTAAAATCGCCTAAGAATGGCCGTAGATCAATAGCAACACAGGTGAGTTATTTACTGCCGATATAAATCAATTCAAAATGGAACTACTTGCATCAAAAAAGGGAGACATTTTTATTAAAATCCTTCGAAAGAAATTCTTCCTGTCTTAATAAGTTTTCTATTGCAATGAAACTGATACGCGCGACTAAATGCCTCTACAATCCTTCTACATGTCTTCTCCCTTGTTGATGTAGATTGATTTTTTTATACTGCATGATAAATTTATCGCATTGTGATCTTATACGAGACCTAAAGACTAAATTCAAAATTGTTGCAAGTACCCACCCGTTACAAATGAAAATATCCAGATAAGAAAAGCAGCGGATTAAAGTTGGTACTTCATTGCCAAAATACTTTGAAACTGACCTAAACATTCTCCCTAACATGGTGTTGGGATGAGCAACAAATAAGGCCGGATCAACAACAAATCGTGTGCTGTCAACTACCAAAGTAATGCGATCCTCACTAGGTGCCGGCCCCAATTGCTGAGGTGACTGTAGTGGCATTCCTAGTTGAACAGCTTTAGCTTGAACTGATGGATTCACAAGAGTTCGAGGTCTGCAAGTATACAAATCATAGGATATAAATAATTATACAGTATGCAGGGGGACCCTTGCCTGCGCACAAGCCTGCCATAACTCTGTTTAGATAGAAGAAATCCTGGATGGCAACTTGGGTCCCCACTAGATGCAGCACTACGATGCACTAAACATGGCTTGGGTTTGAAGAATGATCCATAGCTAAGTGTATATAGAATGGGCGATTAGTTTGACGCTTATATAGGAGGGTGATTAGAAATTTGTGCAGAGGGATGAGTTTAGTTTAGCAGTTGAGAAATTAGGAAACGTTTTGTTAGTGAATAGTTAGGGTAGCAAATTATGTTCCCTATTCGAGGCCGGAGTCCGTAATCGTTTACGAAATGAAGCTATTTTAAAGTATTTCCGTTTCCTATACATTTTGGTGAACGAAGTTGCAAATTCGTATAAGAAACGAAAAATATGCAAGTTTTCGATTAGCAAAAGTTGATCGTGACTATAAACGATTTTTTCAAAGATGATTTTAGGGTGTAATAATTCAGAATAACTTGTAACATTTTAGCTCTAGTACAGTTAGTCATAAAAGTCGCTAGTTTTACACAGTTTTTTCATTAGACAAACGTATAATATTGTACAGGGTGCACGGAACTTTGACTTTTTCTAAACGCTTTGCTCGAAAAATTCAGATAAATGCTGGCGTTTCGTATGAAGTAATTTTCTATTTTCTGAAAATGTTTCTGGAGTAATTAAGATATACAGGAGATCTGAAAATGAATTCTACGGACGCTGAGTGAGCACAAGAACTGTTTTATATACATTTACAACATCAAGTCGCTCTTCAAAAGAATTATATTAAGTTTTCACTTTCACTAAAGTTTCGTATTTATAGATAGGTTTTCCTGCTGGCAGTGAGTACAACATATTCTGATAAACATTTACGTTTTAATTTATAGCATTTTTATACTTTCGGCTTTGAAGCAATTTGGTTTGAAATTGGTTGTTAAAAATCATTACTTTTTTTATAAAAAATCAAGTGGTTCCTTACCCTAAATGGTGTGGTGCAAAGCTTTCATAAACATGCGAAAGCATCAGTTCAGTTTACTCAAATAATCGAGCGTCAGGCAGATTTTAATCAGCAGAACTCAAATAATCGAGCGTTAAGCCAAATGTACTCAATCAGTTAATAGTTACTAAATGATGTAGAATAACCACTTAAAATTTGGGAATTTAAAGTTAATTTGGGGCTGCAGTTAAAATCCTAACTACGTCTTTAATTCTTGTTAGGCAGGTACTTAAGTTTTACTTTCACTGTTCACTAATTTTATATTGGATGTTTTACTAGTTGGTTTTCAATTGACTTCTTTGTCCTTTATGCGCTATATGGATAAAGCATGCTCTTGGATATGAGTAATACATTTCCCACACCTGATAAATTTCTTTGTTTAAGAGGAAAACAATATTATTAAACGAACAATGTATGTAGTGGTCCTAATAGTTCTGCTATAGGTTTAAATATAATGTTTAGTAATATAGTTCAGATATCCCAAGTTTGTGTGTGCAATATATTTTTATTAACAATTGTTTATTGAATGACCCAGTTTAGGTTGGTCATCTGTGCAATTTTACTGTTGAAACAAATAAGTACCTCAATCGAGTTTTGAACACCTTCCTTCGACGATCGTCTGCATAATCTTCGGTATCACTACTTGTGTCGGGCTGATAATGGCGATCACTGGTTCCTGCCATTTTTTGTCTTGGGAATAAACAACGTATGAAAACGTAAATATAACCAGTACACAGTTGGAATTCCCTGGATATAACCCAGAACATACGATAAGAAAGGCTCACATGCGATTTGTGAAAACTTTAACTAACCATCTATTTTGAAAACAAATAAACTTCAACCAGAGGAGCTAAGAAGATAAAATAGTTCATAAAAACTGCCATATACCAGACATATACACGAAAAACCTGGATCAACTTTGCTACTTGACGTTTACATGACGTTACAATGACATATAATCGACTGGCAAATAATAGGGACGGATTGAGGGCAATTTTTTTAAAACTTATTTTAAATTCAACTGTTATTTACAGGGCAGCCCAAATATTAGAAAATGAGTTTTTCTCGACTTTTCAATCGTTGAAATTCACCACTTTTCCATAAGACAAGGAAAAGGGACCCTTTGACGTCCACGCTCTCTATCAGACTACAGTTCGGAAAAGTTTAGCGTTTTTGCCAAATTTCAATTTGTTTGTACTAGATTTTTTCTTGGATTCATGGTTATTTTTTTACCTTTTATTTATATTTATTGGTATTTGTTAGATTAATTAAATTGACTAATTTGTGGGTTTTTCGCTTTTTAGTAATATTAAGCCATTATTTCCGCCAAAACGTGAAGTCACAGAGAGAGATTTGCTTCTCGAGTGGAAATTTCACAGGCGTATTGATTTTTGTGGGCGCGCCTTTGTCGAGCTCAAAGGTGTCTCCACAATAAATTAAAATTACTTCTGCTATTTTCTTAATAGAAAACTTTGCAAACTCTATTCAGCAAAAAGTAGCTGAAAACTGCGTTTCTCCAAAAAAAGACGATTTACAAAAGTCGTTAGTAAAGAGATTATTCACACGGCAAATTTATTCGAGCTTCAAACACGATTGGGCTATAAATAAATCTGAATGTTTACATTAAAATTTTTTTTTAATTCGTTTGTTTTCATTTTGTTTAACCATTTCAGCAAAATTGTTTTAAAAGTTAAACCTTGGAAAAATATTGAGTTCCGTTTTTTTGCACGAATCTAACCTTTCTAAGAGCAGCGTCCAAACACTTTTTGACCATTTTCCATAATGTATATTATAAAACACTCTGCTCATTGGCAAAAATTTAAAAAATTATTTCGGAAAGATGTCCTTCAAGTCCGATTTTTTAAACTACTTTGGACTACAAATATATTTTTTTTACGTAAAATACTTCAAAAACATCCATATTTATTCATGTGAGTGTTAAGTTTCATTTAATAATTGATTATTTTTACTCATTTGTTGTACTTATTCCAAATGAGTTACAAATTTAAATAACTTTATGCTACAAAAAGGGAAGAAAATTATTTTTGTTATTACGAAAACCGTCTACACTTGCTTGTAATGTAACACTGTTAAAACAAAATCGATAAAAAGTCGAATAGCATTTATAAAACTCAAAATAAATACTTACTGTGGCTTTTTTTCAAAATTAAATTAAATTTATTATTTGCCAGCCAGCACGGTTAACGTCCATGCAGAACGCTTGCATTCCACATTATTTACATCCAATCCAAAAACTTCCAAGTATAACAGGAATTTCAAGCATTTCACCGATAAGTATATCACTCTCTAGCTTCGGTTTTGGTTGCCAGCCTACTACAAATGAACCAGTTGAATTTAAAAAATGCAAAAGGAATTAATTCAAATTTCTTCAATATGAGAGAAAGATTGGTTATGCGCATTCGGTGGACAGAGCAGTAATGCACGAAGTATTTCTAAATATATGAAAAAAACTTTTGGAATTGATAAATGATTGAAAGGGAGAACTTGGTGTAAAATAGTTTCAAATTTTCATTTTAGTACAAAAACCTCCCACTGATAGTCAGATTTACAGCTTCTGGTAATCTTATACTGAACAATTTTGGAAACTTCCAGGTAATTCCAGGAAAATATTGATAAATATTTCAGTTTAAATACATTCAGCATTCCAGTAATAAAAGTTACAGGAACAGCATTAAGTTTTAGTTGAAATATTTAAATCAAATTTCTGATCTTTTAGTTACGATTTTTTTAGGAATTAAATAATATTTGCATTTATATCTTATTTTTAAGGGGAGCACTAATGGTTCACCTTTTTTCGGGAATTGGCGGATTTTTCGGGAATGGGAATTGGTTAATTTATTTTGGTGACTACACGTGTGTTTTTCATTATTAAGGTGTATTAATTTTTTAATGCGGATTTTGGAGCTTTTTAACTTGATACAATATTAATTCATAAATTGTCGATTGATACGAAGCCCTAAGGCCACCTAATAAGTTACGATTTCATGAGTGAATATATTTTCCTTCAAGTCTTCATTCAAGACCTTCATCTAGAGACGTTACAAAAACAACTAACGGATGCAAAGAACTTTAAAGCGCAATTCCTCATCAACCACAACTTATAAAAACTTATTTTAAAATATTTTAATTACAAAGTGTACGAAGGTGAATATAAGTGAATAAGTAGTGAGTGACGTATACCCAGATACATGTTAAGTATCACAGAATTATTAAACCTAAATGCAGCACTTTTCAAAAATTTGTTAAAAAATATAATAGAACATCTACAGTTTTTCTTAACAAAATTCAGTTATTTCAAATTTACACTACCATTGCATGATCGGATCGAGCAAAGTATTACATTTTCATTTTACAATTCAGGAATAGACCTGAAGGGTCTTGAATGCTAAATTCGGGCTGTCCTGTAGTAATCACCAAATAGCGTGGAAAGAACAAAAAAATAACTGGCCTGTGTAATAAATTAACTAAAAACAGCGTGCTAGCATTAAACTTAATTAGAATTAGTTAAGATCCTTTTTATGCCATTATTTGTTCTTTTTAAAAACGAAAATAAAATATGTGTTTTATTGCCAACGAAAAGAGCAGGGTGATTTTTAAGCTCGAAATCGTAAAACTTAGCCGATTTGAGACGTAATTGAGCGCTAATCAATCAATTTTACATTTACTCTGGGCTGAGTCCTGACCTGCAGAAAATATATCGCTCTTCCCCACTGTTGCCAGTCAGAACTTAAGGTTTTGAAATTGGTGGTTTTTTATCCATCAAATTACTAAGAAAAATTATTCTGAGATCCTTGTCTGAAAGTTTAAAAATCCAGTAAACATTAATATTATCCAAACAACGCTGTACGTAAAGGTACACAGCAAGAAAGTGCTGTTGGCTGTGGCAACGTTGCGACGAATTCAGGACACCTAATGTGCATGTGCATATGAAGTTGGAAATGTAAATCTGAAGTTTCGAAAGGAAACAAATATTAAAAGAAAGTGTTGTGAATGTTTCTGTTTTTGGCATTTATCAGTGGGATTTTGTGAATTGTGTAGGTTTAAAGAAAAAGTTGAAGACATTGCTGTTGCTTCTCCATTTTATTAACTGTAAACATCGACGTGGGTGCTTACGTACCAAACGTTGTTTACTTGTAGTATGTATTTTGAAATTTGGTTTATTTTCCTCACATAATTCTAACTAACAGTTTATAATGTAGTGGACAGAAACAATTTGGACAAATTTAGAATATATCTTCACAGTTGTAGCAGTTTCCCTGACTGCAACCAAACACCTTTCTTAATTTGTGGCTTTCCTCATTACAAATAATATACTAAGAATAAATTAACTTCAAGCAAAGACAAATATTGCCCTGGATGTAAGTAATTGGTTTAAACTTCGATTTCATCACGTGTAAGTAATTCTTTAACGTTTATTCATGTTCATCCGTATTTGGACTAAGCAAGTAAATACCTTTAGAATATATAATCTTTTTACCACATTTGTATTACAATTTCTAAGTACGCACCTACTTCAAATAGCTACCTGCTGGGTGCATCACTATTAAACATTTGAACTCTTTTATTTAGGGAAGGATTGCAACACACTCTGTAGCAAAACGTCACTGCCTTATTTTTGAGCTTATTACTAATTAAATCCTGCATAGACATCTGATTGGGCTCTATACATATAATTTAGATAAAGACAGTTTAGGCAAATAAATTAACACAAAATATGATGTGTTTTAGTTTCGGGAATTTTCACTAAATAAGTGGTTGTTGTGTCGCAAACATATATTTTGCAATCTCTTGTATTTATTTTTTAAATTTATATAAGTGTACTCTCATTAAATAATAAATTTTGTATTTATTTACATCATTTCTAACTAGTCAATCAATAGATTTAGATTCTCTGTGAACAAGCATCAATAAAATTTGTAATAGTTGTAATGGCCTACCAATATACATATATTTTCTATTGCCTTACTACTTTTCCTAAATTTATTAGTCTTTCTTCTTAAATGCTGATTTGGACGCTTACTGATTTTACGATCTGAGATGATTTGAGGATAGTTTATATTTTAGCGCTGCGTTCCTTTTGATATATTGTGTTTTTTTTATTTGCATAAAGTACACAATTATATTAAAAATGTATGCCTTAAGTTGTTACCCATGAACATCATCATCACGAAATCATTTTCTATATAAATGTTTTGATCTGCAATTATGATTGTTTAATACCAGTAACCGATGAATGTTTCATTTGCAAGATTAAACTTCAATTCTTCAATAGTTTTGTCTATTTAGTGAATCTTGTACTTTGAGTGCATTTAATATTTAATTAATACCTAGATTATATGAATATTTTAATTCGCACGCGGAAAGTTTAATTTTATAACATGAGGAATATTTGTACTTTCTTCGTTGATTGCTTGATTTGTAGACATGCATAAAAAATAAACGTAGTATTTATCGTTGATATTCGTCATTTCACCTGGCTTGAAGTCAAAGGACACTCTTTAATGTATTCAGTAAAAATTAAAATTCCAAGTTAGATTCATATGGAATTGTTGCCCCGTCTAACATTGCATTAGTAATGCTGTATTAAAATACAAAGCAAATACTGTGTTTACATCACACGCACCTCACAAATACCGGAAATGATATGTAGATATGGGTTTGCTTAAACAAGGAAATGTTTCGCATTTTTTTAGCGGATTGGGGTAGTTTTTTGCTGTATTTTGAAAGAAAAACTATAATTCTGTCGCGTTCTAAGTTCTGTCTTTTATTCATACTTCGTTTGTTTTATCATAAATAAATAATCCAGCAATTCGAGTATAGAACGATATAAAACTCTAAAACTTAGGTGGGTAAAGTTAAGATTAAACTTTGAAAATTTCGGATTATGATTTGAAGAATCAAATGCATGCCTTAACAAAAGCTTTGAAATTAAAACTAAAAACAAGTGTCCCCATGTAAACTTTGATATTCTTGGCTGACTTGGTTGAGGTTTTTTTGCACCATAAGTGACATCGTGTAGATATTGAAAAAGATTTATCTCAATTCAAATCACCACAACATCTATATTTACACCCACTTTGTCTATATTTAATTAGACTATTTTTAGGGTGACCATTCCATTGGAATATGGCGGAAGCCCATGCGGCTGTTGCGTTTTCCTTTTCAATCACCCATGAAGGATGGGATGTGAATTTGGATCGAGAAGTTTTGCACTTGGTATGGCAAAGTGGAGTTCGATCTTGGAAAAAGCGAATTGCCAGACTATTGGTAAGTTAATGTAACAATGACCAGCCAAATGGACTATTTCACAATTTATTTTAGTTCATTAATTCCATTTTACAGTAATGTGGGTACTTTAAATATTTAATAATGTCATGATACATAAAGCAACATGAGTTTCAAAAAATTTGAATTAATTGCAAAGCATGTAGTGATTTATTTTTAAATCAACAGCTTTCATAAATTCCCATATATTGACTATGTATTATGTTGTACTGATTTTAATCCGGAACATATCTTTTTTATGTAATTTTTTCATGTATGTTTTAATAATGGTAATATAGCGGAATATTTATTACCAATTTCTTTTAGTGGCAAATTAAAAAAAATAGTTTTAACCTCGTCAAATAATTGCAGTTAAAAAATAAATATGTAAATCTTTACCATTTTAGCTATTTAATAAGATACTCCACTAATTTTCGTTACAAACACAGAATATTTAGGAAAAAATTAAGCACAGCAAAACTGTTCATTTTGTTGAGAAAACACTTGGACACGCAATTAGTATACAATAGTACGCATATTTTCTATACCATTCGCCTCCAAATGAAGACAAAACATCATAATTTTTTTAATGGAATAGTTTGCGTTATTTTTTGTAGCTACAAGTTTAAAACAGATTTTGCGGTCACGCCACGTCTTATTGAACTAATTTGCAAAGTTACTTTGAATATGTTTTTGTCTTTTCATTTAGATAAATCACGAGCGGTTTTTTTTCGTCTGGGAAAGATCGCATTGGAGTATTTATATTGATTAGACTTGAAGATAAGATGCATACGCAACAAGCACTATTTATTTTATTTAATACAAATCATACTCGAGCCACAATTTTTTACCAGATTAACTTTTTTCCTTTAACAAAAACCATTAACTCAGGGAGGGGAGCACAATAACCCTCATATGAGCTCGATTGCCAGTAATCAAAATCTAAATATTACAAAGTTCAATTGATAAATTATCGGCAGGCGACTGAAGGGTCCAATTTTTTGAGTAGATAATGCAAATGATCTTTCAGAATTTAATATTTACGCGACTCAAAAAAAAATCGGTTGCACACAAGTGTATAAAACATCAGCCCTACAAAAAATTAATGGGCGTTTCGGTATATTTTCAGCTAATTTTCCACAAGTAGTTTGTTTAATAATTTGTTTGTTTTTCTTGATTGGGTTATTCGAAATGTAAAGTTTATGTAATTAGACCGAATGACACTCCGATTAATTCACAGCCTATAAAAATTTCGCAAATGTTTCTGAAGATGGTCGCAAATTGAAATCTCCAAGTATTTTAAAAGTGACTTCCATATGCATTTTTGCTAAAAATCTGCAAGAATGCCCTTTAAAAATCAACAAGTTTGAAAAAATTCCCTAAATGTTCATGAATATGGTGGCAAATTAAAATCTTCTCTTTAAAAAATTCTCTATCCAACACGATTCTCTCAACCACCTAACGCGATGGGTACCAGAAACTTAAATTTTTCGAAAAATTCCCTAACACTTTTTGATGATGATGGCCAATTGAAATTGTCAGGATCCATAAAAGTGACTTTTCTCTATCTAATGCAATTTTCCACAAATTCCCGACTTGATTGGTACCAAAGATACGCATTTTTAAGTTTCCTTAAGTTTCAAAAAAATCCTCAAATGTTCCTGAAGGTGGTAGCAAATTGAAAGTTACTGAGTTTTTAAAAGCGACTTTTCTCTATACTGTGCAGCCTTCCAATTTTACGAATTTTCCTTTCCACGTTATATGGTGATAGAAACAAGGAAAAATGTTATGTTTGTTTTACTTATTACTGAATTAACAAAACAAACAATATTACTAAATATGTCAAAACAAACCCATTTAAATGATTTGTTCGTTCTTTTTACTTTTTTAACACCTTGTAACTGAGAAAGAAAACATCGAAGCGAAAACTATTAAATACATTTACTGTTTAGTTTATTCCCAGTCTTTATGTATGTATATAAATCTATACAATGTTGGACCATAGAAGACAATTAAGTTATTTATCTAATCAGATATAGCTGGGCTAAAGTAAATAACGATTCAAACATGTTTGTTATTTAACAATTCGCAAATATCGGTGTATCTCCGGTAATGTAAGATGACACCACTTGATGAATATAATCAGTCAAGCTCTTAAATGTAACGGTTCGATCAATGAAATAAACCTAGATCTGTAAAATATTTTTGTTTTTTGTGGTAATATATGTAATATAATCAATTAATCGATTTCCTTTTTACACGTTTTGGTAGCAAATAATCATATTGTTTGGTCAAATAGACCGTTAACCACAGTTAGCCGAACAAATTTAATTATTCATTTCGAAACGCGTGATAATATCGACACCTGAGTCAATTCAAACTGAAAATCCAGGAAGAAATTGATTAAAGCTAAACTCGAAAATAGTCACGAGGACAAGATTTTCAAAGAAATTTACTGACTATTTTCCATCTGATCTGAAAAATACACGTTTGTCCGAAATTAAATTTATTAAAGAAAAATTGTGCGGACTGTTAAACACAGACAAAAAATATAATGGTGAAAATATATAATAATTTCTTGGACAGCACAAAATGCGTTCTTTTTTCCAGATAATCATATACATACATAATCACATACATACATATATATACATAATATCAGTTACAAGCATGCACAATCAAACATTTGGTTTTCTTGTATTTCAATTTGCACCCTAGCCTGTCTTGGCCAAATGTTCCGTTAACAACATAAGAAAGAAAAATCTAATTTAAACCACCCAATTTACCCAGTATTATAGGGCTACTTTTCTGATTTTAGAACAATGTCCATAATGGCATATACCCTGGACACTACAGCTATCTATGTGTGATAATAGCATTAGTTTCTGCCATGCATCTAAACGGATTACAAGTGCCTTTGAATTTACCTCCGAAACTTTTGACTTTATGTCCTTCGTAAGTCGTTTTTGTGCTACACTAGAAGCGAGTGGGTTTTGTAAATATGTATGTATATTCTTTTTAGGCAAACCATATATTGGCAGTTGGGCGCGTGTACTTTATCGTCTCTTAGCTACTGGCTTTCAGCAGTGTATTTCCTCCGTTATTCTTTGAAAATGCTTTTTATGTACAAGGGATGGATGTACGAGGCTCAAAATAAGTCTCCATCCCTGCTTACCAAACTGTGGCTTAGTGCCGTTAAAGTTTTGGGCGGCTGGAACACGCCGAAACTCTATAGTTATCAGAGTTCTTTGCCACGATTGCCGCTTCCTTCTCTACATGATACAATGGAAAGGGTAAGGAGCATGTCGAGCAATATGAGGTAAAACCGATTTTATTTTAGAGGGATTTTTTAGTATTTGAGAAGTGTTCGTCCGTTGCTTGATGATTCAATGTATTCGAAAATGGTTAAACTCGCAGCTGAATTTGAAAATGGTATAGGGAAAAAGCTGCAACGATACCTGCTTTTGAAATCCTGGTGGTCCTCGAATTACGTTTCTGATTGGTGGGAGGAATACGTTTACTTAAGGGGACGTTATCCGTTGATGATCAATTCAAATTTTTATGGAATCGATGCTATCATGTTGCATCCAACGACAAATCAGGCAGCCAGAGCTGGTTCAATAATTAATTCTCTGTTAATGTTCAGAAGGTAAAAAATATTACCTTTCTATTTGGACTGTCTTACCCATAAAAGCTGGCTGCAGATTACTGGATAGACAAGAATTGGATCCTATATTGATACAAGGACTGGTGCCACTTTGTTCGTGGCAGTATGAGAGAATATTCAACACAACTCGAATTCCTGGTGAAGAAGCCGATAAAATAATGCATTTTCGCGACAGCAGCCACATAGCAGTATACCATAAAGGGCGATATTTTAAAGTGTTCATATACCACAGAGGACGAATTCTAAAACCTCCAGAAATTCAAATGTTAGTTTGTTGCCGTTGGACAAGTTCCATCAGCAGGTGAATAATTGCTTTTTTACTATGCAACTTAGGCAGATTGAACAGATCTTGAAAGATCAGTCCGAGCCCCAACCTGGAGAAGAAAAATTAGCTGCTCTAACTGCTGGAATCAGAACACAGTGGGCTTATGTGCGAAATAAGCACTTTGCTAAAGGTGTTAATAAAGCCGCATTGGATGCTATTGAGAAATCGGCTTTTGTGGTCGTTTTGGACGACTTTCCGTATGAATTTGACATGGTATGTTGTCGTGTTTATAGAAATTTATTTGGAGCGTTCTGTTTAATTGATCTTTTCCAGAATGATCCTTCTAAATTGGACAGGTATGGTAAAGTATTACTGCATGGACGTGGCTATGACCGATGGTTTGATAAATCATTTACACTATGTATAGGTACTAATGGAAGATTAGGTTTTAATGCAGAACATTCTTGGTAAGTAATGTGTACTATTAAATTGCGTTATTTCCTATTCGGTTGAGTTAAATTACTCAAAGATATTTTTGCCCATCAGCTTCGTAATACTAGATCACTTTTGAAAGAATTTAATAGTACAATCTTGTCAATTCAAAAGCAAACAAGTACCAATCGTTTTAGGATCAAAACCATATTTTCTGTATTGTAACAAAAGATAAATTCTCATTGAAAAAGGGATTTTTGCGATATAGTAGATAAATTTGCTCTCGAAGTAGAGCTTTGAGTTCTCCGATCTGCCTGAAACGTGAAAGCGACATATCTGCGAAACAGTAGAAAATATCGTATTGGTCTTAAGAACTATTTTTCATTAATTAGTTTCAGTGATCACCAAGTGAAAAGTTAACATTTTGAAGGCTCTCGAAGTATGCTCTATTACTATACACCCTATTCGAAAACCGAAAATAAAGTATCCAAGTTATTATTGATATTATCAATGAATAAATACGAATTCCTCTATATATATAAGAATGAATAATTTGCGGAGGTTATGAATGTTCACTTTAAATTATTTTAAAAGATATAAAAATATTTCTAAATAAGCTCTTAAAAAATAAATCATACTATTGGTCTTCAATTGCATCCTCCAATTACAACAAATTAAATAAAAGTTCTAACTAAATTTTTGCTTCATTTCTTTATTATTCTACTTGACTGAATTGCTGTTGCCTAATAAACATAGTGTTTGTTTAAATAAATTTTGCCTGAAAAGTCATTAAAATCCGCATTCACTTGCAAAAAAAAATTATAGGGCAGATGCAGCTGTGGTGTCCCACCTATGGGAATGGGTGATTACAGAAGAATCATACGATCCCCGGTAATTCAAATAAGCAAGCGATTTGTATTAACCCGCCTATTTTATCTGCTTGTTTTAATTATCCGTATAGTCGCTAACTATTTTCTTTCTAGTGTCCATTTTTGTTCCTTATTCTAACTTATTGGTGGCTGGATTTTACCTGTTTTTGGTTTCAACTTTGTAGGTCTGACGCTCCGATTATTGCGCACTGCTTGGAATATATTTTACTAGAAGAGGCTGAGAATCCACGGTAAAAGATGCTTTTTTTATTCAAATCTTTCTGATTTTTTAAATAAGAAAGTAAATGAAAATAACTGAGGAAGTTAAAAATTTTATGTATAGCTTAGACCTACAAAGAGCAGCATTCTTTTGTATATAATTTGATTAGCATGACTTTTCTACTGAGCTAACATTTGATTTATTAACAGTTGTATTAGAGATATAGATTTCCTAGTAATTTTTTAAAGGTGTTTTAATCGTGTTCAGTTCTTAATTTACTTGTAGAGCATTCTTTAGTTGTGTAAATATTAATACTCCTTTGTACACCTTAAGATATTGGTGTGTTTTGTCGGTAATATTTTCAAATTTACTAATATAGATTTGATCCAAATGGGAATACACTGGGTAATCCAGAATTTACCCCTCCACCACCATGCAGATTAAGTTGGGACATAAAATTTGACTGCCAAAATTCAATAGAAGCCAGTTTGTATGTAGCCAACACTCTTATAGAAGACATTGATCTTAGAATATATGTCCACGATCGCTACGGAAAAGGTAGATAATACTTTTATTTCCAATAAAACGGATTCTGATTGTACAAATTCGCATTTTTATTTAGGATTCATGAAAGGATGCCGGCTAAGTCCAGATGCCTACATCCAAATGGCTCTTCAGCTAGCTTACTATAGGGACGGTGGCAAGTTCTGCTTGACTTATGAGGCTACAATGACTAGACTGTACCGAGAAGGACGGACGGAAACAGTACGACCTTGTACTGTAGAATCTTCAACTTGGGTCAAAGCTATGGAAGATAAAAACACCAGTTTAGAAGAAAAAATTCGATTGCTTAGAAAAGCTTGTGAAACTCATCAAGTAAGAGCTATTATCATCTATAACTCATAGTTATAATGGGAATGTAATTTCGTTTAGAAAGCCATCAAAGACGCAATGTGTGGCAAAGGGATGGACCGGCACATTTTCTGTTTATATGTGGTGTCTAAATATCTGAAAGTTCAATCGCCGTTCATAAAAGAGGTTTTGAGTGAACCTTGGCGATTGTCTACCTCACAAACTCCTCACGGTCAAACGAAGAGAATGGATTTAAAAAAACATCCGAAATGTATATCTGCTGGGGGAGGTTTTGGGCCGGTTGCAGATGATGGTTATGGTGTCTCTTACATTATAGCTGGAGAAGATTTGCTGTTTTTTCATATTTCAAATAAGAAAAGCTGCCCAACGACGGTAAGTAGAAAATTAAATTCAAAATTTATACTCAGGTCCAATGAGTTTCCTCTTTGCAGGACTGTCATAGATTTGCCAGGAAAATAGAACAGGCATTAACTGACATGCAGGAACTTTACACAGAATACAATCAAGCAGCAAAGATGTAGTATTTTTAATATTTTAATATTTACTTATCTGATCAACCCTAAAATCGAAACGGTGTGGTGTTAAAAGTATTTCTTGATTGGATTGAACTGTAAAACTGTTTTGTCAGGCCATTAAGAATCTTGAACTGAACCGTATAAATATGTATTATTTGAGTTGATATCAAGAACAAAATTAGTTTCAATTGAAGTTTCAACAATGCATTGACATGTTGTTTGACTGTTATGTTAGTTTTCCTTTTATTATAAATATTTTGTAAAGATCTAGTAAGACAAAAATACATTTTTAACAAAAGCAATCCATTTTATTTTAGGCTAGTTTATGATACTTTATAATAAAATTACCTAACTATAAAGTAATAAATTTTTATTTACACAATAACAGTTCTTTTGAAATCTACATATAAAAATATTTCACAGTTTATACATATTTTGTACACCAAAAATAAAATTAATAATTCGTTTATCCACAAACAATTTCGGAAAATTAATTAAATTTTTCTGTATTATAATAATGGAAATAATATATGAATACTTGTTTTAACAACGCTGTTTTCAAACGGTTATTTATAGTGATCACATATTTTACTTCAAACTATATCAATTAAATAACTAAGTAATCTAGTCGTCGTTTTAACCATCAAAATCGAAACATTTACAGATTTCTTGACAGTAAATCTATGCGAAGAAGAAACAAGGCCTAAATAATTGAAATAAATCAGCATTGCATTCTGTGACCGCGAATCAAATGCATTAAGATAGTGAACAAACACCTAGCCGTTTACGACGTGTGATGTTCGTTATCCAAAGATGCTTGTAAGTAAATTGCTTTTGTGGCCAGACTGATTTAACCAGGTAATAAAGAAGGTAAATTCGATATTTTTATACAACTTTATACTTTTTAATATATAAAATCCAATAAAATTATTCTTCAAACATTCTCGTCAGAAAGACAGTTGGCTCGGTATAGAGGAAGTAAAATAACTTGTTTTAATTGATGAACGAATAATACTTACTTTTACATACTGATGTTATTAATAAGCTGTTTGATTCTGTACTGGAAATACACAGGAAACTCATGTTATTAATGATGATGTGAGTTGAGCCTTATATCTCTCTCAATGCAATTTAATTGGAAAATCCTAAATTTATTCAATAACGTCATAATTCACCTGGAACATGTTTAACATTTGAATTGTCAATTTCTTCATCCACCTGAATTCGGTTTGTATGAATTTTGGTATCGCTTTTTAATTGATCGCGCTCTTTGCTTGGTATCAAGTCATCAGAGCTTTTAAGTTTATAAAGAACATTCAGTAGGTCCTCGCTCTGTGACATTTGCAATCGATCTATGTTCTCCATTAAAATCGACAATTTTTCTAACTGTTTAGAACGTTCAAGAATTTGTATAATTTTACTTGACTTTGTTGAATCAGGGTGAATGTTCTTATCGCCCTTTTCAGCTTCTACAGTTTTGCTTTTGGTTAACTGTTCCACATCAGCTAAAATTGACGTCTGACTAGTTGGTGTTGCTTTAATTAAAGAATCGTCGTCTCGAGAATAATAATGCTTGGATAATTCACTTAATAACCATTTAGCTTGCTCAGCAGGGTCATTCTCAAACACATCGCTTGTTCTTGATCTGTAGTAAAGTTTCAACATAGTCAGAGGTAAGAAAATCTCCTTATTCTCAGATTGATGAAGTGAGTTTAGGACTTGTTTTATGCTCTGTGACCAACTGGGACTTGTTTCTTTATCTTCAAAAAAATATATTTATTTAGTGCCTATTAATGATAAGACCGACTGTTTCAAAATCCAAGTACTCACCTTTAAACATAGGAGCATCTACAACTTTTTGATTCTCCAAAGTGATTCGAATTTTGTCTGTACCAATGTATGCCTTAAATCCACTGTCTTCAACTACTCTTTCAATGCCTCCTATGGCTATGCCTGTATGTTTGTTTAGGAATTCTTGGACCGACACCTGGCGAATATCCATACATTCGGAAAATTTGTAATTGATTAAACTTCTACTACCATTACCTTCAATTTGTGAAACATGCTCTCTTCAGTTTCTAGCCTGTTGACATCGTCCACTTCTTTCAAAGTAATTTCCGTTAGCGGATTCAAACGCAACGCTTTAAGCAGCTTCTGAGCATCTACAGAAAACATAAAGACTGAGGGAATTTTAACGTCATCAGTACCGTCTCCTGACATTGAAAATAAAGGGGAATTTTCTGAGCTACTTCCAGGGACATTATCTACTACTATTGCCGCAATAGCTCCAAACTTCTGTGCTCTGCGTACCTAAAAATTAAATGTAATTGTTAAAAGTGTGTGAATAATAATGAGCGCATATTTACTTTATCCACAAACATGCAGTCTCCTCTTTCTATAATCGCAATGAGCCCTAGAGCTAAAACCGATCCCTGTGCTTCATCCAAATCGCTGCATCCATTAAACGGCACCAACGTGAGTGCTTTGGACTTCAATATTTTATTGCCTAATACCATTCAAAACATTTACGAATTATTTCAGTGATTCTTCAGTGATCTCCTAATGTTACCTTTCAACACTTCCCCAAATTGCGCTGGTCCAACTTGTGCCGTAATTATAGCAGTTTTTCCTCCCGTTGTTTCATCGTTGAGAGGAAATGAAACTATTTGAGGTATGGGTTCTGGTTGCTGAGCCTGCACTTTAGACAACTCTGCCATCTCTTGCATAAACATAAGCCCTTCTTCTGCATCAAGCGGAGATTTTGCCTAAAGCGATTATGGGGCAGTCTTAAACTACTCAAAATTGCTCTGATTTTAAACTCACCACCGCAGGTGTATGCAATAATTGAACTCTGCCATCTCCTAAAGCTATGATATTAATCCCCATTTCTTTCAGCATTTTTAAGTGGTTGATATCAGCCGCTGAGAATTCACTTGCCGTCAACCTAATCGTTTGGGAAATAGTGAGTAAAACGTAAATTTGAAGACATGGAAAATAAAATGCATTGAAAACGCGCACAGTATACTTGAACAAACAAAATTCACCTTCGTTTATTTTTTCTTCTAGGACACATTCCATCTACCATGTGTTTCAAAGGTTTTCGAACAGCGTCAGGAAATAGCGACAGTGTATTGGGACAAGACATAGCAAATTCAGAATTTTCAATTTCCAAATCTAGAATGTCTTGATTTAATTCACATTTCTAATCCCAACAACTTAATTTTCAAAAACTTTAAGATTAATATATTAATCTCTCGAATATAATAACCATTTACGTAACGGTAATTCTTACAACCTTGTAGAAAAACCGACCCAACTCATGTAAGAAAATAATACTTAAGTTGTGGATTTTTACATATCTCTATGAATACGTCTATTTCCCCAAATCCGTTCTTACCTGATCCAATTCTAGTAGCATTTGTACCATGTCCTGATAAAGCCAGGGGCAATAAGTGGCCTTCAGTGGTAAATATAAATTCATCCAAATTAACTGGAATATCCTCTTTATCAGCGAAGAGTAGATATAAGTATTTGAATGTTTCTGTCAGTACAAATGAGTCCATTCTATCTTCTTGTTTCCCTGAAAGAAAATAGTTGTAAGTTTTCCCCAGACTAGTGATTTTTAGATCATTTACCAGTTCTAACATCATTCACAGCCGCGTAACCACAAGGCACTCTTGCATACTTTTGAAGGCTTTTCAAGGCATTTTTACCCACATCCAAGTAATAAGGATCCCCCGTAGCACTGTACAAAAAATAGGTGGATTCAAGAAATTCGGGTCTTAAAGGATGGTTACCCCAATGAACCTAAAGGAAATCCAAGTTACATTACCAATCTTTAAAATGCAATATGAGCCTAGAAACTGAAACTTCCATGTAAAAAATTTAAAGAAAATTCAACAAGCACTCGACTTTTGAGTTAATCAAAATCAATTCCTGGGCTTCAGTCATTTATTGTCTATTTATCAATTAAAATACGTTTCGGTGTTTTCCACCATCATCAGTTTCTATGTGTAGCGTTGTTGCTACTTTAAGCCTTGGCATATATTTGCCAAGGCTTAAAGTAGCTGCCAATAAATATATGCCAAGGCTTAAAGTAGCAACAACGCTACACATACTAATTGATAAATATACAATAAATGACTGAAGCCCAGGAATTGATTTTGAATTGGAATTGAAACACAGTCAGGAAAGTATGTACAATTTTGAGTTAATATCAGGCATTTTACAACTTACTTGAAAATCAGTAGTGAAGGCTTCAGGAATAAATTTATGTCTTTGCATGACTTGATAAAGCATTTCATGCGTCTCAACTGCAGGTTTGATGTCGCCTTTTAGAACTTGCAAACCTGGCCAGAAAGCGAGTAAAGCGTCCATAAAGTTTCTTGAAGTGGTATGCGGTCTAAAATGAATGAAAAAGTTGCGCTCGCAGTCACAAATCGAAAATTTCTGAGTCTTACCGGTGCATATGCACATCCAGTAACATCGGTCCTTGCGATATGTATTTCATAATGGCGCTGTAGTGCCTATTAAAACGGTTCAAATATTTGTTGTCACCCAACAGGATGTAGGCTTTAAGGCAGTACTCGTAATAAGAATCGATTCCAGCTCCCACGCCCGCATCTTTTCTTACCCAGTCGCCTGAATGAACATTGAGAACTGTGCCCATCAAGTCTGAACTACGATGGCGCAATTTCCACAATTCATCCATAGCTTTCTGTGCCTAAAATCGAATCAAATATATTTAGAAGGAAGCGAAATACTTGAGTTATATGTTGCTATACTTTTGCTTCGAAAATCGGTTCCCCAGTGAGCCTGGAAAGGGCTGCCATTTCCAGAATCATTGACCCTGCACAAGCAGTGCATGTTTCACGCAGACTTTC